TCTCCCCTTTTTGCCTGTTTCTCTGTCTCTACCATTCTTGATTTGCCTCTGCCCTCTCTGCCTTCAAATCTTCATGTGCCTATGATCCCAGCCCTCCAGGCTCTGTGGCATTTCTAAGTCCCAGCTCTCACTTCCCACTTCAGTCTCCAGACAAGGTGAGAGTTTCACCCTCTGTGTCCATATCCCCCACCCCCTTTTCTCCTGTCCTCCTTCCCTGTCCTCCTTCATGAGAAGCTAACTTATTCTGTCAGCCATGTTGAAACAGGGCCTCACTGTGCAACCCATTCTGGTCTGGAGCTCTCAATGTAGTCCAGACTGGGCCTCCAGCTCACGGCAGTCCTCCTGCCTCTGACTCCCAAGTACTAAGGTTACAAGCATATCGGGAGGCAGAGGCAGGTGGATCTCTGTGAGTTCCAGGCCAGCCTGGTCTACAGAGTGAGTTCCAGGACAGCCTCCAAAAATAATACAGAGAAACCCTGTCTTGAAAAAAACCAATAAATAAATAAATAAATAAAAATTAAAAATAAAAATAAAGTATTACAAGCATAAACCAACACTCCCAGCTTCGCCTTGACTTTTGTGTCCATTGTCCTGGGCATGCTTCCCCTCTAGTGTACCTCCCAGCCTCTCCGTCCCTAGGGTTACTCCTCCGGTTCTAGCCTCACCATCTGCTCTGTGTCCCTCTGGATGTCTATCAGCTGACTTTCTACATCTCTTCTCCTCCCAGTCTATCAGATACTCACTGATCACAATTTTATTTTACTGGAGTTCTCATAATGTCTCTTTTATGCTGAAAACTTTAAAAGGCTCTTCACTGTACTGTAGCTCTTCCTGCCCAGCAGCTGAAAAGAATCACCTCTGCTCAGCTAAACAAGACTTTTTCTAAGTACTTCCTTTCTTTTCTCAGAACTGAGCATCTCGTCCTCCCAGGTCCCTCCCCACCATCACTGGTCCACAAAGAAATAGAGATGGAATTAGAGATGTTTCACTCTCTTTTGTTAGTTTGTGTGTGTGTGTGTGTGCATGTGTGCATGCGTGCATGCGTGCGTGCGTGTGTGTGTGTGTTTGTGACAGGGTTTCTTTGTGTACTCTTGGCTGTCCTGAAACTCTCTCTGTAAACCAGTCTGACCTCAAACTCCCAGAAACCCACCTGCCTTTGCCTGGGATTAAAAGCGTGTGCCACCAACCCCCGGCTGGTGCTTCACACTTACTGCTAGCCCATCCTTACCTGTTTGTACTGGGGTGAACTATCTTCCCAGGGGAGTAGCAATAGAGTACCGTATCAGGTTCTCCTCTGAAACATAAGTCATGAGGTGGTGACTAAGAACAAGGCTCTAGATTTGCCTGCTGGATTCAAAGGCTATGCCCTTGCACCTGTCACTTAATTCTCTGTGACTCAGTTTGCTCAACTACAAAATGGGCTAATAGGTGTATACCTGCCATTGAGGTGACTAAATAAGGTAATGCACATCATAGGCTGAGAGCCACATCTGGAATCTGTTAATCAGCTTTCTCTTACTCTAACCAAAAACACCCTGGATGATCAGCTTAAAGGAGGAAAGTTTGTTTTTGCTCATGGTTTCAGGGGGTTCCATTCATATTTGTATGGTCCCTGACTTTCGACAAGTTTCAAGGCAGAGCATCACTGTGGGAGAGCATAGTAGGGCAAAGCTGCTCATTTCATAGCAGTTAGGGAATAGGGGGTGTGCCTTGGGGTCCCACTATACTCTTCAAGGGCATGCCCTCCCACCTACTACTTTCCACAAGGACATATCCCTGAAGTTTTCGCTATTTCCTAACAATGCCATCAGCTATAGTCCAGGTCTTCAATACACGGAATTAGAGAAGCAATGTCTAAGTGCTCAGTGTTAGATGTTATCATTGTTTGGTCATACATGACATGTGACATTATTATGCATCATACTTATTAACTGATGAGCAAGGAGATTAACTTGAGAATTCCATGCAACCAATGAATTAATATCATAAGTGCTTCCTCTAAGACGTGGGGTACTTAAAACCATTACAATGAATAATTTTGTAGCATATAAATTTTAAAATAAAGAATATGTACCTACACCAAAAGATCTGGACAATTATAATGAATAACCAAGAGTAGTAATATTTTAAATTATTTAACTTTTAAAATTATAATATAATTACATAGTTTCTCCCTTCCTTTTCCTGCCTCCAAATATTCCTATCTACCCCCCACTTAGTTCTCTTTCAAACTCATGATCTCTTTTTGTTGTTGCATGCATATGTGTGCATGTGTGTATACATACATATATGCATTCATACACACATAAATACATTCTTAAATATTTAAGTACCACCTGTTTGATCTATACAACATTATTTGTATGTATGTTTTCAGGGCTGACCATTTAGAATTGATAACTTTTGCTGTGCTCTTCCCTGAGGAAGACTATTTTTTCCACTCTTAGCATTCCTTAGTGGCCTGTAGTCCTTTGTGTAGGGCTGAGACCTCTGAGGCTTGCCCTCCCCCAGGCCACATTAGCATGTGTATTTGTTGTCCTTCTTCAGCATCTATCCTGTTAGTCATATTGGTAACATTTTATGGGTTTATCTTCTGACATTCCTAGGAGACACAATCTTTTCACCTCCTCTTCTACAGTGATTCCTGGGCCTTGGGGAAGGAATTACATTGTAGATATATCTATTGGGAGTGGGCTCCATCACTTGGTATTTTGGTCGGCAGTGGTTATTTTATTTAAGAAATACCCTATTGTGTAACAGATATGCTTATGTCAACATGCTACTCACTGAGCACCTACTGTGTCTAAGCCACTTGCTTGGTATTCCATATCTGATGTCTAGCTATGCTAGTGAGTTTCTGTATTTGTATTCAATACATCATTACTAATGAAGGAATGGTTGCTACATGAAATAGTAACTGCCTGTCTGTACAATCTTATGACCGATGGAGGGAAAGTGCATGAATCTTTTTTGAAAGGAAATAAAAGTGAAGACTTGGTTTCAAAGTTGATCAAAAGTATGGTGTAGAGGCAGGGCGATGGCGTAGTAAGTAAAGTATTTGCTACATCAACCTGAACACTTCAGCAGTATCCCCAGCACCCACATCAAAAGCCCAGTCTGGTGGCATGCATCTGTAATTCCAGCATTGGGGGTGGATGGGGAGAGGAGGATCCAAAAAAAAGCATGCTGGCCAGCCAGTCTAGACCAATTGATGAGTTCCAAGTCCATTAAAAGACCTGTCTCAAAAAGTAAGGTGGGAGGGTGGAGAGATAGTCCAAGAGTTGAGGATGCTTGCAGATATTCCAGAGGACCTAAGCTCAGTTACCAGCACTCCTATCAGGTGACTCACAATCATCTGTTAACCACCTGTAACTCCATTTCCAAGGGATCCAATGCTCTTTTTTGGCCTCTCCAGGCATCCACACTCATACAGTATAGATGTGTGCGCGCACACACACACACACACACACAAACCACATACAGCACCTTCTGCTTTAGACACCATCAGCATTGAACGCTGAGCCAACTCACCCAAGGAGAGTGTAACATTTGTACCCATGCTTACAACTGTTACACTGTAATATCTGCCACTCTCATGTAGAGGCGGCCTCTAGCTGCGGTTTGCATATGAGCACTGGACACTAGGCTTCTCAGCAGCATGCCTGTTCAAGTCTCCCTCCAATTTTCCTAATGCATGATCTATCTTTTCCTTACTTATATGTCAGCTTTACTTATTGAAAAGACTACAACAGGATTTTCAACAATCAATTTTAAAACCTGAGAAAATATTAGCATAGTTGAACAAAAGCACCATGAGTAGCAGCAAAAAAAGTGTAGAGGGTCAGAGAATAAGCTTTATATGGCCTTTTGTGTGTGAATATCTTCAAAAACAACTGGGACTTTTCCTCCATACAACTCACTAATGGAAGAGGCCAAATCCTGCAGGAAAAATCCAACGTTCTTTCTGCAGTCCCCAAAAGTGTGAGTGCAAGCCCAAGGCTGCCTTTAAATAGCAATAATGCAACTGAAATAGATCATTCAAGGGAAGGAGACGTATTATTAAGGGCAACACAGCCATTGACACTTGTTAGCTTGTCTCTGAACAAACACTACAGAGCAGCAAAGCTTAAAATGAATGAAATGGTCTCCATTCTCCAGCTAATGAAAATGCTTTGGGCTCTGGGCCAGAGAATAGATTTGGATCATAGATGGAGCTCTTTTTCTCGGGGCCTTAAATTTAAATGACTAGAATTATTTTTAAAGTACCATCCTACTCAGTCTTTTGGATTAAAACTATGGTTTTCAATTCTAAATGAAAAACCTGCATTCAACATAAAGATGGAATGCACCAGTTTTGACCAAGCTCATTCATGGATTCAGGAAAATAGTACACTCTCGTGTAAGTGGGTTGTATAGTAGAGATATCTCTTACAGAGACTCCCTTGTCCCACAGTCCACACATGCATGAACTCCACATGCATGCTTATATGCATGCACAGTACATATGTATATACATGCAGGCACACACAGAGAGATGCATTATCTATACAATATGCATGCAAGCATACACAAAAATGCAAACATGCATAAGCATGGTATATACCCATATATATACAGAGAGAAACACATAAACACAGGTATACATCCAAATATATGGATGTTTTATGCCTATGAAGCTTGAAAAAATATGCACATCTGACATGGAATAGAAAGGGATCCATCTTCCCTCTATAGACAACATATATATGTTATATAACATTATGCACATAATGTATAATAAATTCATACAATAATATATATTGCACATATTATTTTATGAACTTTTAAAACACCCTGCTTCTCAAACCAGTCTAGGCATTTTAGAATTGCTAACTGATGTGGATTTTTTTCCAGCTCAGAATAGCATATAAGAAATATCACCATAATTCAACACAGTAGGTATCTCCTCATCACCATTGTGTGGAATTTAATTGTCTAGGAACTGAAGTCATTTGCAAGCATTGAAAGTGAAAAGGCAAACCTCAATTTATTGCTTATTTCAGGAATGTCATATCTAAATGAATAGACTTTTATTGAGACACAAGTATTTATAAGGAAAACATGTAGCTACGGTGTTCTTGCCTCTCTAATAAATGGGTGGCATTAACAAGAAATATACATTCATTAAGACATTCTTTCAGCTTGGATAAAACCCCTTCCAAATGAGGAATGGTGAGGCTGTGCCCAAATCCTGGTCCACCCCAGAGCCTTAGGCTTCAGTGGATGTCGACCTGGATCCTGGATTCACAGTCCATCACTTACAGACTTCTTGTCTTGAATCCTGTGTACACAGCTCTAAATCCATTTGAAGACATCATGTCTGGGAACAGAGATAATAAAAAGCTATGACCCCTTGTTAGCCAAGTCTTGTTCCTCCAAGTGCCTGGACGTGAGAAAGAAGCCAGACCACCGCAGCCTCCAAATGTGAATACCAATAGGACTCAAAGGAACTTTCACAGCTGTGCAGTCATGCCCAGGGTTCTGGGAACCCTTGAGGGTGCTGCTGGTAAATGCTTAAGCTCTCTTGGTATGGCATGCAATGCTTCTCGGGGTTCTGTGGGTGCCCTCAGTACTTGTTTCCCCTTGTGAGTTCAGATAGTCTGTTTAAGAAAATAAGTGTAAGTTTCCAGGAACAGACGGACCGATCTTCCTCTGCCGGTTGCATTAGTGACTCTGTGTCCCTCATAGGGAACAGAATAGCCAAGGAAGCCTCTGTGAGTGCCCTATGCCAACCAAGATGGAAGAGCCCACATTTGTTCCACAGCCTTCTTTCCATGAAGAGCAGCTTTCACAATGTCGTTAATCTTCCAGGGCCTCCAGCCATCAGCACTCTTCAGACTTGGTGCTTAAAGCGAGTCTGGGAACATGGCTTGGTGAATACAGCACCTTCTATATATAAAGGGCCTGAGTTCAAATCCCCAAGATCCTTGTAAAAACTAGACATACAGAACATCCGTAGTACAGCACTAGAGAAACAGAGAGAGGCAGATCCGGGGAGCTTGCTGGCCAGCCAGGCTACTCAAATCAATGAGCTCCAGATTTAGTGAGAAATCCTGTCTCAAAGAATAAGACAAAGAGATATTAAGGATATTGGATGTCAACCTCTGGCCTCTTCATGCATGTGTGTGAATGTGCATATATGTCCGAACACACACGCACACACACACACACACACACACACACACACGCACGCGCGTGACTTTAGTCTAACTGACAATGAACGCTTAGACTCCCTGAAGCCTCTGGACTCCCATGCTATGACTTCATTGACTATTTTTCTGACTTCTTAGAGCTTTTTATTACTATTACTATTATTGATTCCATAAGTCATTGCTAAATAGCTGGGTTCTGGGGTGAATGAGGTTATTTTGTAAGTCCAAAGTAAGCCACTAAGCAGGCTGGATGTGTTGGATGCTCCGCTGAGGTACTTTTCCTTATATTCAGTATAATCACCGAAGCAGAACCCTAATGGAAGCTCTTCATAGTTTAGCATCTGCCATCAGATGGGAATATCAATTCCATCTACCAAAGAGAGAGTTATAGGCAGGTTCAATATAAAATGCAAATGTAGTCACTTAGTGAGCCGCACGTGTCAGCTGTTCTTCACCTGAGTCTATTAGCCTGGGAGCTTAGAGACCGCAGATGCTCTGATGGGGTTGCTTCTTCCACCAGCCTCTGTGGGACCCAGGTTCAAATGGACTCGCAGAGGATGAGCACAATGGTGGCTGAGAGATGGAGAGTAGGACATGGCAATGGAGGCATGGGAGGATCTGCCTGTTTTCTCTAAAAGATTGCTGTTGACTCAGTATGAGCTATTTCTAACAAAGTTTCCCTCTTACGTAATGAAGAAGGTGAAGGTTCACCAATCCCTCTGGCCCTGTCTAGCCACTTCCAAACCCTGATATTTTGTTGTATAGCCCAACTCGGCTGAACAGAGGGAGGCTGACCAGTCTGAGCCACAGCATTGGCTTAACCTTGGTGGTTCTACAGCTCAGCTTCCCTGTTGGCCCTCACAGTGGTAGATTCATCTCTCACTAGTGCAAGTTTCAGATTCTGACCTCTGCTTTGCCATTACAACTCACTACACCATACCAGTTTTGCTGATACCACTGCCCTCCTACGTAGAACTTTTTGCCTGAGAGCCATGTGATCTATCATCCCATGGTACCACCCACTTTTCCAGCATCTTCTCCAGAACTGTCCCATCTCACTCCATAACCCACAGTTCTGAACTAACAGCAAAGCTTCAGGCAAAGGTGAAGGGCATGCAGGTAGAAGGAGGACATTGAATGTCATCTATTGAATTCCAGAACAGGAAAGGAAAGGAGAAGGAAAGAGAAAGGAGAAGGAAAGGGGAATGGAGAGGAAGAGCATTAATGACTTTCTGAGCAGCTGCTTGCTATATGAAATGTAAGAAAAGAATGTGACTCAAAGAACCTATGATTTACCTCAAAAGAATACCTTGTAATGCAAATATTTATACTCTTCCTTACATATCAGGGCTCAGACATTTTACTGAAATCATCTTTGAATCCTTGATGCTGAGGGACAGCAGTAGCTGGCTTCTTCCAGCTGCCGATGGAATTTGATCATCACCCAGGCTTCGTACCTCATCTCAGCAAGCCAGTTTTGTATCTCTGAGAAAGGAACAAATATATACTATCCATCACCAATACCAGTCAACTTTGAGTTTAATGAGTACTGAGGCTTCAAAGAAAGTCAAGGTGGGCCTGGAGAGGTGGCTCAGTAGGTGACAGCATTTGCTATACAAGCATGAGGACCTGAGTTCAGGACCCCAGTACCCAAGTAAAAAGCCAAGTGTGATTGCATGAACCTATAAGCCCACTTCTAGAGTGACACAGAGACACGAGGACCAGTGGGGCTTGCTAGCCACCAGCCTTGCTAGAAAACACCGGCGCACTTCTTTCAGTGAGAGACCTTGTAAAACAGAGAGCAACAGAGGACACCCAACGTCCTCCTCTGGGCCCTGCACACAAACACCAGTACACACACCTGCACACCTATATGTGCATCCTTGTGTACACTACACACCGAAAATGTAGAAATGAAATAATGAACTTCAAGGTCAGTGTTTTTCTCTGAGCCAAGTCATCATAGTCTATTTGAAAAAAAAAGAAAAGGTTATCATTTTTGTCAGTATATTTGGGCCGTGTAGTCATCCTCATTTATCATAGATCCTATGTTGGTGAATTTGCACATCCACTGAAATTCTGCTGTGACTCCAAAAGCAAAATGTATGGCACTTACATGGCTATTCCCTGCCATGGGGAAGAGAGGTGACAAGTCCCCAGCCTAGCAAGGTGACTCCATCTGATTGATTCATTTCTCATTCTATAAACAAGACTCTTTCCCTGGGGCTCCATTTTTCACATTGTGTATTTTGGGTTGGTGACATCACTGCTAAGGTGATGTCACTGTTAAGGTGCCCCCTAACATGGCAGGTACTAGCTAGTGTGCTCAAGAGCCTTACTCAGGCCTGAGCCACAGTCCTGGTGGCTGAGTTCACTGTTCATGAAGTAACTGTCATGTTTAATAAGGTGTCCTAGGATACACATGTTTGACAAAAGTACAGTGACCAGAGGGTTGCAGAACCCTAACCCCTATTTGCCTGAGTAACCAAGAGCAATTTGTTGTCCCCTAATTCAGTATCAGCAGTGACTTCACAGAACAAAACAACAGCAAATAATAAGTCCTAAGAATGTCAGGGAGGTGTGTTACCAATGATGCCATGCCATTTTCTCTCTTGGTTATTTAATATTTTTGAAATTCTATGCATGTTATAATTCATCTTGATTATATCCACTCCTTCCTGCCCCCACAACTCCACTCATGTCCTCCCATCCTCTTCTCAAACCCATACCCTTTTCTAGAGTGTGAATGTGTGTGTCTCTCCTCCTGGGCCCAGTTAATATTGCCCCTGTACACATGGGAATAGTGCTGGCCACTGGGGTATGGGCATCCTATTGCAGGGGCTGAGCCCTGGAGCCCTGGAGAACACTGACTCTCCCTTGCTTAGCAGCAATAGATGGTCCATAGCTCCTCACACAGGAAGTGAGCCCTCTGCCCATCCCTCATGCTGTTTTCTGCTTTGTGGAAGATGACATCTTCAGAGACATCTCAGTCTTCATGTTAACATGGGCAGACTTCCTCACTGTTCAGATCTACCCAGTCCTGAGCCCCATCCCCACCCCTCACATCTGCTCTAGGAGATGAGCACAGCAGTCCCTGACCTCAGGCACTGGTATCCTTGTTGACATGACCAGATTTAAGGTGATAAAAGGAAAGTGGAAACATAAATAGCAGGTGAAGTAGCTCCCTGAGGCATAGCCCAAGGGAAGTGAGCAGCTTCCCAATGGTGACCTTCAACTGTTAATTTCATGTTTCCTCCCAGGAACTCTGCAAAGAAAGTTCGCCGGTAGCCAGGGCTTCTAATTAACTCTAAAGTTCCTACCACATCAACTAACATCTGTAGACCCCCCCCTCAAGCTTGTCTCTCTCCTCGCTAGAGTAAAAAAACTGATGTAGGTAGGTAAGAACTGTACCATAGGAAATCCCTCTTTGTCTATAGGAAATGATGGTTATATTTCCCTTGGCCTGATTACTCTGGAGACCTTGCAACCCTACACAACTGAAGAAACAAGGGTTATGGAATTCAAAATAGGAATAGTAATCCTGTTTTATGAAGCTCCTAGTTTGTGCCAAGGTGCTGGGAACACAGGGGTAAATGTGAAGTCTCTGGCTCTGCGCATCTCAAGCTCTAACAGGAAAACCTGGTCATTGTAAGCATGGGACAAATGCTACATGTGAGGGTCATACAGATGGGGCTTGTAATCATACATAATGCAGGGGGCCTCAAGGAGGGGCGTGTGCTTGTTGGTGGAAGGGAGCCTTGAAGGTGGAGGATTCCGGCACATGAAGTAAGTAGGGGGTGACCATTCCTCGTGAAGTGGTAGAGGTTAACATCCTAGTATCAAGAAGAAAAGACATGACAGAGTTGAGAAGCATAGAGTGCAAAATATGGGACATAGACTCGAGAAGGCAAGTGGGATGCCACGCCTGGATCCTGAGTAACCTTGAGAGCCACAGAGGCCACCAAAACCATCACCTCTGCCCTCCCTGTGGTGGCTCAACTAAAGTGGCACAGGGGCTGCATCATGGGCCAGGGACATCTGAGGATGAAGAGAGCAGCCTAGCTCTTGGGGAAACCACTAAGGAAATAAACCAAGAAATGAGAATACAGCAAAAGGCTGTCCGGAGAGGAAAGCGGTAGCCGGCTGCCTGGGGTTGCCTTACATTGAGCAAAGCAAACTGTATATGCCTGAGAACAGAAGGATGCAGGCCTGTTCCAGGGCAGCCATATCTAAGAGTAAAAAAGACGAGGTACCCAAAGGTGAAGCAAGAAATAGAATAATGGCAGAGACAGCAGAGGAGGGAGGTGTTGCAGAGGAGGGAAAGACAGAATAAAGTCGGAAGAGAAACGGGGGTATGATTGGCCGTGAATGGCCAGGAGGTATGTTGATGAGGAAGTAGATGGAAGTGAAGAGGTCAGCAATAGGCAGGTGTCTGTATCTCAGCAACACCGTGGCTGAGGCAGGCCTACCTGAGTTCAAGGCCAGCTTGGGTAACTCAGCAAGACCTTGTCTCAAAATAAAGCATAAAGGGGCTAGCAGAATGGCACAGTGGATAATGATGCTTGCCTGCAAGCCTGACCATCTGGGTTCAATCCCTGGAACCCACATGGTGGAAGAGAGAAACCAACTCATGTAGGCTGTCTATGCACCCTGACCCACATGTGCACACACAGAATAAACAAATGTAAAATCTGTTTAAATAAATCAAATATAAAAAGAGGGCTTCGTGGCATAGCTCAGGATTGAATACCTGCCTGGCATATACAAGGCCCTGGGTGTATTCCCCAGCACCTGCCTCCCTGGAAAGAAGGCAAGAAGCAAGTACAGATCAGCTGCTGGTTACACTTGTCTTTCAAAGGAAGACAGGATGTAAGTGCAAATACTGGAGAATAGAAGGTTAGTGGGTGGCTTGCTGTAACCATTGTAGTGGAGCTATGGATTGTAGCGGAGCTATGATTGCTTATGGCAGATGAGCTTTTGGTCAGCAGTTCAAAAGAGGGTGTCTTTAATGAGCCCTTCTAGAGTGTAATAGATCAAGGCAGAGTCAGACCCCAATACCCCACGATGGCTTCTCTGGAGTCTCCCCTTAGGTAAGCTCTGTCTTAGAGAGTGCCATCTGCAAAGTAAGCCGTGTAATAGCTAGTCAAGAATGTCCCTGGCTGCAGTGAGAAGCAGGAGATATGTGTGAAGAGCACTTTGAAGAATGAAAAGCCTCCTAGGACTGTGAGGTGTTGCTGTGTGAGAATACAGTCCTTCTCGCTGCCCTTTTGCTGTTTGCTGAAGAGCCTTTTTCTGAGGGTATTATGTCAAACATCAGGGAAGCTTCCTTACAAACTACAGGCAGGCCCTCTCGCTTCTGGAAATTTTCATCTATTTAGTTACTACCCTACCTCCCCCTCCCCCTCCCCCCCCCACCTAACTACTCAAGAAGGAGAATCTACAGACACATTAGACACTCTAAAAAGAAAAAAGTGAGGAAGAGGAAGGAAAGGAGGGAGAGAGAGGGGGGAGGGAAATAGGAATGGAGGGAGGGAAGGAGGGAGGGAGGAAGGGAGGGAGGGAGGGAAGGAGGGAGGGAGGGAAGGAGGGAGGGAAGGAAGATGTTGAGGTTAAGGAGATGGCTCATTTGATAAAGTGTGTTTGCCATCCAAGCATGAGGACTTGAGTTCAGATCCACAGTATCCACATAAAAACCTAATACAGGGCACATGTCTGCCACCCTGGTGATTGGGAAGGTAGTGACAAGTGAATTCCTGGGGTTTGCTAGCCAGTCAGTCTAGGCAACCAGTAAGCTCCAGCTTCAGTGAGAGACCCTGATTCAAAAACTGAGGTGAAAGGGTAGACTGACGTCACCCAACATCCATCTCTGACCTCAACATGCTTGAACACACACATACCCATGCACACAGCTGCAGCTGCACGCACATATGCATACACAATACATACACTGCACATATATATACCACACAGGCACGCGCACACACACACACACACACACACAATCAAATTAAAAAAGAAAAGAAAAAAGTTAAGGTAATCCTAATCATAAATAACTTTTAAAGTACTAGAAAAGCCAAGTGTGCTAGTTGATCGCTAGAATTCCAGCACATGGGAGAATGAGGTAGGAAGATCTCAAAGGCCAGTCTGGGCTACATGATAAAAATCCTGCAGAGAGAGAGAGAGAGAGAGAGAGAGAGAGAGAGAGAGAGAGAGAGAGAGAGAGAGAGAGAGAGAGAGAGAGATTCCTTTATTTCTATATATTTAAGTTTCCATGTTATGAAGTTAGGAAAGAAATCTTTGTGAAGGCCACTGCCTCATAGAAAACCAGCATCAGAGTATGGCCGCCTTGACAGCCTTGCCACAGAGCAAGCAGCCTGTGTTTGCTCATTTTCCTCCTATTTATTGTTTCTACCTAGCCTTTTCCTACTAACCCAATAGAGCAATTATGTCCATGAGGTTTGCCATGTCGTGCTTAATGTATTTGTTTTCAATTACTAGAAAAATAAAATGACCTGTGCTGGGTATTTTAGACTAAAACAAAGGCCAAAAACTGTGAGGGTCTTTAATTTCAATACTCAGGAAGCAGAGGCAGGCCCACCTCTGTGAATTCAAGGCCAGCCTGCTCTGCATAGTGAGCTCCAGGCCAATCAGGTCTACCTAGTGAAACCTTGTCTCAAAAAGACAAAACAAAAACAAACGAAATAACTTCCAAGTGGCAAAATGTATACCATTAAAACTATTGCAAGTATGCTTTTCTGTAGGTTTGTTTGTTTTAGTTTATCTTATAAATTTCTATTGTTTTATGTGCATGTGTTGCCTACATGTATATATGTGTACCATGTGCATGTCTCATGCCCAGAGAAGCTAGAGAGGGCCTTAGATTCCCTGGAACTGGAGTTGCAGATGATTGTGAGCCACCATGTGGGTGCTGGGAATCAAATCAGGGTCCTCTGCAAAAAGAACAAGTGCTCTTGACCACGGAGCCATCTTTCCTGCTCCTAGCTGTTTAAATTGGTGTATTTGGGTCTGTGAGTGTGTCTCAGTAGTAATAGCTTACTTGCCTGTCATGTATGAGACCCTAGAGTCAATCCCCAATAGGGCATTTTTAAATTAAAATTAATGTATATCGTCTCCTGGAACCGGGCGACTTATCCTTGAGCATTTCAGAATATGTGACCAAACTTTAAAAGCAAACCAGGAAAGAACAATACAACAGAAATTTTTTTCTAAGGTTAAAGTTATCAAAATTAAAAATAAAACAAAGAAGGTGCCAAGATTGTTGGCACAGATCTGCAATCACAACCACTCAGGAGTCTGAGGCAGGAGGATCCAAAGTTTAAAGCCCACCTGTGCTTCAGGGTAAATCCAAAGGATCCTGAGTAACTTAAGAGTTTGTCTCAGATTTAAAAGAGAAAGTGAAAAAAAGAAGGAGGTGGGGAGCAGGGGATATAATTTCATGGTAGAGTTCTTATCTAGGACATCCAAGGCCCAATGCTTAGTTTCAGTATCACAAAAAAAAGTGGGGGCTGAAAAAAGTGGAATTCTAGTACCTGTTGGAACGTTAAAGAAATGAAAAAAGAAAGAAAAGGCAAGTACTTTTCTCCAGCCCAATGCTTGGGTTGACCTGGCCAACTCTTAGCCAGCATTCTGCGCTTACCTTAGTGTGGACCCCTTAGCTGTGTAAGTCAGACCTTTACTCTTAGTTGCTTCCTTGTATTACAGAGTTACAGAGATCAAAATAAAAGCAACTACTGTCTTTGCAGAAGACTAACACATAGCAAAAAACAGCAACAACAACAACAAAAAAGATTTGTTTTACTTCGAAAGCAGAGGCAAGAAGCCAGGATATGGCTTGGCAGGAAGAGGTTGCCTAGCCTACTCAAAGCCCTGGGTTATATCCCCAGTGCTTCATAAAACTGGTCATGTTAGAACACTGCAACACTTGGGTGGTGGAGACAGGAAGAACAGAAGTTCAAGGGCACCCTTAACTACATAGTAAGTTTGAAACCAGCCTAGGTTATGTGACACCCTGACTCAAGGGGAAAAAAAAAAGGTAGGAAGGGGGTGGAGTCAAGCCAACTGTGGATGCTCATACCTGGACTCCCAATACTTGGAAGCTGAGAGAGAAGGATCACCATGAATTCCAGGCTAGCCTGGGTTAGAAAGTGAGACTCTCTGCCAAAAACTGGGGAGGGAGTGGGGGTGGTCAGGAGCAATTGCTCAAAAGTTTCCAGATGTTCTTCTGACCTTTACAAGGTCAAGAAACTTTGATAACCTATGCCTGAGCCTGAATGGAAAGACATCTGGTAGACCACGCTTGTTATTTAGAGTTAGCATAATAAAACTCATTGAGGTTTATTAACACAGATGTGTTGACCATGGCTGGTCTGTGCTGCATAAGAGAACTATTCCCTAGCAGTGAATTCTTTGGCTTTCGTCAAGTGGTCCGTTGTCTGTGGAATTTCCTATTCTCCAGCCACAGAGGAAAAAGCAAACCCCACCCCCCTGAATTTGGCTGTTATGAGGTTTAAAGAGGATCATTTGTTTTCATTACAGCCCCTTGAAGCCCTACTTCCCCCCCTCATTAATGAATTTCCAGTCTCTCATCAAAAACAAAAACAAAACAACAACAACAAACAAACAAAAGGATCCGGCAGAGGACATAGTTAAGTGGCTGGTGGGCATGACTGTGCTGGCTTTAGAGAAAGGGGGTGGCCATTTACTGATTGTGAGGAGAGGTTGACATCCTTGGTTAGTATGCTAATTTTGTCTCTTTCATTTAACATTCAGATCAGGTCTGTACAGGCCCTCCCTAGCCGCAGAGTCCAGGGATGGGTGGCTGTCTGCCTAGCAGCATAGAACATGCTTTGCATGAATTACATAAATACCCAAGCATTCAGTGTGCACCGACTTTACACTTTCCCTCCCTCTTCCAGACACGGAGTCACATGCATGCAAACACACACTGCACATGATGCTGACACATGTACCCACAAACAGCACAGGCACAGGTCTCTATGAACACTGATGGCATGCAGAGAGGTACCCTAAGCATCCAGAGCTGGGTTTAGTCCATAGTCCTTGGGTCTCTAATATAGCTGCAGGATATTTTTTCTGCTGTTCAGGGAACTTGAGATATATTGGGGAGCCAAAAATAAAGAAGAAAGGTAAAAGTTAAAAATCTCTATTTGTAGGAAATCTCATCTAAACCACCATATCCAGGATGCTTTCAAAGTTCCATTTCCACTCGTGGAAAAGAGAATTGCATAGCTCAATTAACTGAACACCCAGAGAAAAGAAAAGCCAACTGTTTTTATTCCTTGGGGCCCCCACTCTGTCCATGTGTGTTTGGAAACACAGTATAAAAAGAGTTCACGGTTGGTTTGGGACTCACCAAGCCACAGCTGGGTGGCAACAGAAGAATTCCCAAACCAGCTGCCATATGTCGATCCAAATGGCAAAGATGATCACCTGGCACATTTGCCAGACGCCTGCCAATGGGAAACGGAATCTCCCCACACTCCTCTTCCCAGTACCACTCTGTAATGGTGAGGTAGCTCCGGGAGACGACGGGGAGGAGGAGCAGCTACTAGCAGAAGCACTATACTTTAGACAGATGGAGCAATTTTGAGCCAGCCGCACGGCTCCAATGCAAAGGAATGGCTATGTTGGCTTTCACTGTTTGAGTCTGGTGTGGATTTGGTTTGGTTTTTTTTTCTCAGCATGTGGCATAGCTGTGTAAGCTGGCATGCCATGACTCTTTCCTGAATCTTGTCCTCTTGTGCCCACAACAATATTCCCAGACTCAGCTGAGGAACTCCAGCGGTTCCCGTGTTCCCATCGGAGCTTCCCAAGCCATGGGTGTTTTCTCCGAACTGCAGACTTGATTTGCCTTGATTATTATTTTTTTGGCTCTGATCCAAGATGTCTTCCTGTCATCATCTCACCGTCTTTTCCAGTAATCCCTTTTTTAAACATCGCCAACAATTAGTCGATTTATCTCCATCACCAAGGACCACCGCCCACCCCCATATCCACGTCCACATGCAGACATACACTCGGCTGAGCCCCCATCCCTGTCTTGTTTTGCCTTGAAGTATAAGAAATCACAGCTTCTCATTAGCTGGAGAGCACGTTTGGAACGGCTTTGTGTTTACTCACTTAGTAAGTGATGCTGGCCTTTTTAATTATCCTCCTTCCGCATGCCATTTAGAGCAGCAAGCTGTTCAAATCAAACCGAACGGGTGCACATCCTCGGCGAAGCGGTTGGAAAGGAATCCTGGTTTTTTTGTGTGTGTGTTTTTTTTACCTCACTGCTGGCTGCGTCCTTCCTTGTCTGTCAGCAAGCCAAGGAATCCCCCCCACCAAAAGCTCTTACGTAGGAAGACACCAAAACCGTGAGTCACTTTTCACTCCCAGAGCAGAAGAACCCACAGCATTGCACCTAGCAGCAGACCCAAGATGATGGGGCTTTCCTCCAAGCCGTTGAGATCCCTAGGACCAGGTGTCCAGTCCTCACACCATTCTTTCTTGCTGTTGCTCCCTCTTTCTCTTCCACCCTTCTCCATCCTTTCATCCTGGAGCAGTCTCCTCTTCTTCCTTTCTGAGATGTGACAGCTGCAGACCATAGCCAGAGCTGAGTCCCTCTCACCTTCTGTTATTTTTTCCCCTGCAGCAGCCTTTAGCTGCTACCCTCTGCAAGCTGGATCACCAAAGACACACGACTCTCTCACAATGAATAATCAATACGGATATTGATCTAGGGGAAAATGTTTGTAAATTCCTGAAAGGGAATCAGGAGCAGGGGGCAGGGAGGTTCGTGGGGGACGACGCTGCAGAGCTCAACGGTGCTGGGAAGCAGGACCGCTTTTGGATCCCCAAGTTTGGTCAGCTCCGAGGTGACGGGTACCGGAATGCGTGCCGATGAGGGTGTGCGCGTGTGAGGACCGTGCTGTGTAGTCTCATTTCTCTACAGCTGCTTTCCCTGAAGAATCAGGAGCCACATGGTCGGGAGCCCCCATCAACGCCATGTCTTGGCTGCGGGCCAGCCCTGTTTTGTTTTCATTATCACACGCTACTTTGCAATTTGCATAAATACAGGGTTATTTTTTATCGTGTCGCCCAAAAGATAGAGCTGGGGAAAAATAGACTCTTTGTTGTGTGCAAGAGGGGCTTGCTGCCTACTCATCGAGGCTAAGGATTTGCCTCTCGGGCAGGGCTTTGGGGTATATAGTGAGGGCTCTAGAAGAAATACAGGCAAAGGAGAGATAACAGGAAGGGAAAGAAAGCCGGGGTGAGGGGGGGGGATGTAGGATTTAATGAGAACCATAGGAAACTCAGCTTGGTAAAACCAAGTATTAAAGACCTGTTTTCCTCTGCAGCGAATGATGAAGACTCGGGCAAACAAGGTGGAGTTAGTGCCCAGTCTCTGCTTAAATACCTTGCATTCCTTCTGCTGGAATAAAGCCACTGGGGTGGGGGAAGTGAGTAGGATAGTAAACATATGTGTGCTTTATCTTGACTTCCAGGCAAAACATGGAAAGACCAAAGATAGACCATAAGTTCCCTCTCAGCTCTAATGGTTTTCCCCCAAAGAGAGAGGCTTCACACCGAGTCCGTTTCTTTACCTTCCTTACATACCAAGCCCCTCCTCTCTCCAAATTGCACCTGTCCAGTAAAATGGGTCCTGCTCCCCTCTTATCCACAGCAAATTTGGTACCTGACCTATGGCTCAATGACAAGCCAGGATGGCTCCCTCCTGCCTATACTTCTTAGCCATGGAGACATTGGGCTCACACTCCCAAAGTCACACTCCCAAAGTGGTGTTGGGCACTCTCATGTTCCTAGAAGTAGAACTTCAATTTACAGAAACAATCCAACTCTCTGGGCAGCTAGCTGGTGGGCACCTTCCCACAGTGGCCTCTGTTCCTTCCATCTCTCCTACTCACTCTGAATTTGCAGTTTGGTAATAAAAAAAATCTTGGAGATCAGTCTGCCCTTTCTCCCATGGCCCTATCTCTTCCTGGGCTGGTGACAAAGGGGATGTGTCACTTGAGATAGCCTAGCTGTCAGGAGTAAGACCTCTACATGAGGATTCAATTCCAGCACCCCTCGTTCTGAGAGGAGCTGTCCATTTTATCAGCCGCCAGCAGCACCTCAGCAGCAGCAGCAAACACCGCTGGTTTTTTTTTTTAATTCCCTTTCTGGCTCCTGATTAGCTCTGGCAATCCAATTAGCAGAGGCATTTATATCACACAGGCTGAGGTTCCCCTACACATCATGGCAGCTCAAACCCACTCATAAATCCCACCGATACTACATCTTCCTGTGACATGGATTAATTACAATACCAGACTCTCCTAAGTAGGTCTACCAGCACAAGTACATAAGAATATTAGAATTAAAGAAGGGGCCAAAAGGAATGTCTTTTGTCTGTTATCAAGAATGCTCCAAGGCTACCAGGGAAGTCACCACTGTCCTCCATCTCTGCACCAGGGCATTGTTCAAGCAGATGTTGAAGAGGCCAAGCAGGCCTGAATAGTGCCTTATGGGGGATTCAAACATGATCTAATCATGGTGCACCCATATGTTTGGTTTTTTTCATATCTTTGGGCCCTTTATTTTTAAAGTTCAGATCTCTTAGTGACTTATTTCCTACTCTGGTCCATGCACCACCTAAACAGTTAAACTATTTTAAAACCCTTTACAAAGAGAGATGTCTTTATCTTCATTGGTATTCCACTACAGTCAGGCACAATCATGATATTGTGGTAACTTTGCATCTATCTACAGTTTCATTCCAGATTTACCCTTACATTCATCAACCTCTAGCATCTTTCTATCCATTCATCCAGCTATATTCATTTAGATATCAACTATTTATTCTGCTCCCCAGTCATCCATGTGCATCTCGCTATCCATTTTCTAACCATGTATTGATCTATGAATTTCTTTCTATTATCTGTCATCTACTTGTCTATCCATTTGTGTCTCTCTTAATTCATTCATCTGCATTATCCATCTATCTGTTTTTCTATCTATTCATTAATCTATTCATGTGTCTATCCATTCAATCATCTACCGTTGGCGTATTGGTGACCAACCTCTTTTTATTCTGGGCCTTTTGTTAGCCATGATCTTAACAAGATCCCAGATTCACATTCCCAATCACTTTTAAGGTAAAAAAATGGCCATTTTCCAAATGAAGTCTATAAATGCTATATGCTTCACTGTCCATTCCTGCATTTAAAAGAATGAACTAAAGAAATAAATCAGTAAAATCGCAAGGTTTTAAGTGAGTTAAAATTACAAGGAAAATATTTTATCCTAGAGTCCTGAAGCAATTTCCTTGTTTAATAAAATAGGCTTTTCTGCCCCCTTTCAACCATGCCTTCAGGTGAGGTGGATTTTAGATAATGTTTACAACATAAATCTCATCCACTCTGTTATATTTACCACTATGCATCCTTTATGCAAATGATCCAATTCAACCAGAAATAACATGAGATTACTTTTATCATAAAGCAAAGCAGATATTAACCCTAACATGGTAAGTATAGTTGTATACATTTAGAAAGGGTCCAAGACGGTGTGTGTGTGTGTGTTCATGCACAAATGTGTATAATATATGTGTGTGTTCATGTGTGTTCTAGGGCAAACTAAGGATAAGATTTGCATTTTCCCTCATTACTTGCACTCAAAATATATTTAAGTCTAGGCTGAAATTTAGACTTCAGTAGTTTCTCAGAGCCCTAGTTTGACTCCAAAAAAAGAGTGGGGAGAAGAATGAATAAGAACACTTCCACTGAAGGCAGAAACCCCACATTGTCGCTCTGAGTGATAAAGGCTAAACAGTGTGTCTGTGACTCCTCGGAGTTTGCAGGACATTGTTTCCCAAGTAGTAGTCCAGGTCAGAATCCTAAGCAAGCAGCAGATTTCTACTCTGCCAATATTCACTGTCAGTAATAGTATTATGGTAGCCTATAGGCAGCATTCCCAAGTAAGAATGCAATTGGGTTTTTGTTTGTTTTTTTGTTTGACTAAAAAGAAGTATGGTTCTGCATCCGGGTAGTCACCAGCTCTCTCCTGTCTTCATCACCAGGTGAGCTCACCAGCATTGCCCAGGGTTATGTGTTGGCCCACCCGAACATCCACCCAATCTGTGATCTCCTGGAGCATGGGGGGTTTTGGGGTTGGGGAGTGTTGGTCTTGCAGACCCAGGGCTGCAGGATCTCTACAACATAGGGCAGCAATGGAAGAGTCTCAGTGAGGGCCCAGCATTGATAGTGCAGCAGAGACCAGAGGTCTTGAACCAGACCAGTGACTCTTTGTGATGTACCCTGCATGTAAAAATGTATGGATAAAGGGGTTTACTGTGTAAGCCGGGCGGTGGTGGCGCACGCCTTTAATCCCAGCACTTGGGAGGCAGAGGCAGGCGGATCTCTATGAGTTCGAGGCTGGGCTGGACCGACAGCCTCCAAAACAATACAGAGAAACCCTGTCGCGTAAAACCAAAAAAAAGGGGGGCTTACTGTGTGATTCACTATGTCACACTGCAGCTTCCATGATGAGATTTTCCCTTTCTTCCTTTTTTTTTCTTTTTTCTCTGAAATTTTGTTTTATTTTGTGTGGAAATGGGAGAGATCGGAAGGCATGGTGTGAAAGTCACAAAGAATAAATAAAAAGAAAGCTTAAAAAAGAAGTATGGTTAGCCTTCTTTTTTTTTTTTTTTTTTGGTTTTTCGAGACAGGGTTTCTCTATGGCTTTGGAGGCTGTCCTGGAACTAGCTCTTGTAGACCAGGCTGGCCTCGAACTCACAGAGATCCGCCTGCCTCTGCCTCCCAAGTGCTGGGATTAAAGGCGTGCGCCACCAACGCCCGGCTGGTTAGCCTTCTATATGCAAGGCTTTCACAACTATGAAGTCAGCCAAGTACTATTCAAAATAATTTTTTAAACTGTCTATACTGAATGAGTGCAACTCTGTTGTCATTCCCCAAGCAATGTGTCCTTATTTACACAATATTTATATTGTATCCAGCATTGTAAACCATCTAGAGATGATTTTAGATACACAGGAAAATACCATTGAATGGGCATTACAAGTCACCTAGAAAGATTAGAACATAGGAGACTATACACAGAGTACATGTGAATAAATTCACTGTTTCCTATGATTCTTCAACATCCTTAGACGAGGGTATCCCACAGGGTCCTGGAATCAATCCCTTACAGATTCTGAAAGATGTAGGTTGAGGAAAAGACCATGAAAACCAAGACATATCATTGTGAAACCAAAGGACAGGGAAAGACCCAAGTCATGATAGTCACTCTGCCTTTATAAAAGCTAGGGAGACAGAAACCACCAGATTCTTTATTCTTGTGTTGTTTCCATTCATCTTATCACCATGGTTTCCCAGATTCTGTTGAAAAATCTGGAGTGAGATGACATAATCTTGTGTTCTAATCCTGGTTTTACTTGCCATGCTAAGCAGCTGATCTCTCTAGTCATTACAGTCGGCTTAATGTCTAGGGCTCATTTGCAGAGGCCCAGAAAAAAATGCTTTGATTTATCCTTTTTTAAAGAGTTTTATTTTTAATGTTTAATTATGTGTATGTGGAGTAGAGGTAAGATGTGCATGTGAACACAAACACCTACAGAAACCAGAGATGATCCCCCTGATCAATGTATTGACCCCCTCATAGATCCATAGTACAATGTCATAAGGAGAGATAATAGGAAATGGGACCCATTTGGAGGAAGTAGGCCACTGGAGGCATCACTTTGAGGAGTATCTCACATCTGTCCACTTCC